CGTTTTATATCTATTCATGCACAGGTTTTAGTAATTTGTGTGCATGTTTTATCATTCGTGAGCTCGTTTTATAAATCATGAGCATGTTTTATATCAATTCATGCACACGTTTTAGTAATTTGGGAGCATGTTTTATCATTTTTGAGCTTGTTTTATAATTCATGTGCTTGTTTAAAAAAAGATCTCAGTCAATTTCACCTGTTGGGCTCCGTAGGAAACAGACAGAAAGTATTCCTTAATGATTTTGTTAAATCCCCTCATTCAAATAAACGTGCACAGAGTTGCTCAAAAGCCTGTAGCATGTAAACATTCATGCTCTGAAATCATGGCTTCGGTTCATTCTGCTGCAATCACAACCCCTGCCACCGGGTGGCATTGTTATACCAAGGTTGAGGAAAGAGAAATGCAGAATGCAAAAATTATCACAACCTTGAAGTGGCATACACAACAACCATTCAAGCAGTTAAAGGACATTGCTCATCATTATGGAGGTACAATTTGCTCACAAACATCCCCTTTCAAAAGCTAGATGAAAGAAGAATCCCTCTGTATAATGCCATTCATTCTTAAAGACCGTGGGCCAGATTGTCTTAGCTAAGCATTTGCACCTGCTTTGCACCTGTGTTTTCAAAATTGAATTAATTCAACATTAAAGGTGCACTATGCAGAAATTGCTCCGTCATTTCCTGGTTGCTATAATTCTAATAGTTCGCCTAATTTCAGTTTATGTGACAAAACAAGAAAGTATAGAGTAAAGAATCATTGTTCCATCTAAACCGCTGTGAAATATATTTTCCATAACCAAAAATATTTTACTTTCAGCTGTTTGAAGCTGGTGTACAAAACCGAAAGTAAAAGACGCAAAAAACGAACTTAAGAATGGGAGGCATAGAAATAGTTCACATAGAACAGATCTACCGCTTCTTAGACTTGCTTTCAATGAGAATGACATATCTATAACTCATATTTCTATGTGAATTTGGACCGGTCGCCCAAAAAGTTATATATTGCAGCTTTAAGGACAGAACAAAAACATAGTTAAAGTTATGGTTAATTTTCGTGCATTTCAGAAAAGTGAACTATACCTTTAAACTGACTGATGGTGAAGGGGATTTTTGTAATATGTTACTTAGATTGATGCACGGGTGCGTCAATAGACTCTTAAGGTTTAAGAGAAAGAATAAGACAATTACAGAAAGGTTAAGAAAGCGAAATGTTTTAGTCTTGTTTTAGGTGTTAAATCCCTTACTGAAAAAACAGGTGCAAAGTTTGTACCTGGTGCAAACTGCTAAAAGTTTATCTGGTCATGTACAGTGGGGAAAAAAAGTATTTAGTCAGCCACCAATTGTGCAAGTTCTCCCACTTAAAAAGATGAGAGAGGCCTGTAATTTTCATCATAGGGACACGTCAACTATGACAGACAAAATGAGAAAAAAAAATCCAGAAAATCACATTGTAGGATTTTTAATGAATTTATTTGCAAATTATGGTGGAAAATAAGTATTTGGTCAATAACAAAAGTTTCTCAATACTTTGTTATATACCCTTTGTTGGCAATGACACAGGTCAAACGTTTTCTGTAAGTCTTCACAAGGTTTTCACACACTGTTGCTGGTATTTTGGCCCATTCCTCCATGCAGATCTCCTCTAGAGCAGTGATGTTTTGGGGCTGTCGCTGGGCAACACGGACTTTCAACTCCCTCCAAAGATTTTCTATGGGGTTGAGATCTGGAGACTGGCTAGGCCACTCCAGGACCTTGAAATGCTTCTTACGAAGCCACTCCTTCGTTGCCTGGGCGGTGTGTTTGGGATCATTGTCATGCTGAAAGACCCAGCCACGTTTCATCTTCAATGCCCTTGCTGATGGAAGGAGGTTTTCACTCAAAATCTCACGATACATGGCCCCATTCATTCTTTCCTTTACACGGATCAGTCGTCCTGGTCCCTTTGCAGAAAAACAGCCCCAAAGCATGATGTTTCCACCCCCATGCTTCACAGTAGGTATGGTGTTCTTTGGATGCAACTCAGCATTCTTTGTCCTCCAAACACGACGAGTTGAGTTTTTACCAAAAAGTTATAGTTTGGTTTCATCTGACCATATGACATTCTCCCAATCCTCTTCTGGATCATCCAAATGCACTCTAGCAAACTTCAGATGGGCCTGGACATGTACTGGCTTAAGCAGGGGGACACGTCTTGCACTGCAGGATTTGAGTCCCTGGCGGCGTAGTGTGTTACTGATGGTAGGCTTTGTTACTTTGGTCCCAGCTCTCTGCAGGTCATTCACTAGGTCCCCCCGTGTGGTTCTGGGATTTTTGCTCACCGTTCTTGTGATCATTTTGACCCCACGGGGTGAGATCTTGCGTGGAGCCCCAGACCGAGGGAGATTATCAGTGGTCTTGTATGTCTTCCATTTCCTAATAATTGCTCCCACAGTTGATTTCTTCAAACCAAGCTGCTTACCTATTGCAGATTCAGTCTTCCCAGCCTGGTGCAGGTCTACAATTTTGTTTCGGGTGTCCTTTGACAGCTCTTTGGTCTTGGCCATAGTGGAGTTTGGAGTGTGACTGTTTGAGATTGTGGACAGGTGTCTTTTATACTGATAACAAGTTCAAACAGGTGCCATTAATACAGGTAACGAGTGGAGGACAGAGGAGCCTCTTAAAGAAGAAGTTACAGGTCTGTGAGAGCCAGAAATCTTGCTTGTTTGTAGGTGACCAAATACTTATTTTCCACCATAATTTGCAAATAAATTCATTACAAATCCTACAATGTGATTTTCTGGATTTTTTTTTCTCAATTTGTCTGTCATAGTTGACGTGTACCTATGATGAAAATTACAGGCCTCTCTCATCTTTTTAAGTGGGAGAACTTGCACAATTGGTGGCTGACTAAATACTTTTTTTCCCCACTGTATGAGACCTTTTCTTCATGTTCTACATGAGACCTATAATGAGCTTTAGTAGAAGTCCCATATACTGTATGGGTCTGTGGGGTAAATATGGTTATTACTGAGATTCTGATTCTGTGTAAAGTAAGCCACAGGAAAGTGAGTCATTGTAGAGGCTCATGTAGCCAACCTAGTCGGGCCTCAAAGGGAAATGGATCAGGAGTTTATTCAGAAGTCTTTACCACTGTGTTCCATTTGTGTTCTCTTTTTTCAGCATGAAGGTTTAAACGGACTTTCCATCAAACCCAGACTAAATCAAGATCCTGAGAGTTCAGCCAGACATCAGTCTACATTTCTGTTCATCCTCCTATCAGCTTCAAAACACCAGTTAAAGGTTCATGTAACGTGCTGATAAGGATTGTTTTGAACAACCGCTTTAAGAAAACATGAAAAATTACATTGTTTACATTATTGGAATAAAATACAAAATTATTTAATCTAATGACAGAACAAAACTTATTTTAGCAGTCAGTAACATATGTTTGAAGGTTGCTGTAATATGAATAGAAACAGCTTTAATAATGTGTACTCCTGTTTGGACTGTTTTCTAACAAAGCAGTCATTAATTATCACAAGAGCGTCAATTAATGCAGCTAAAACAATAATGCACAGGCTTTTTATATAATTTAGCAGGGTTGGGGTTAATTCCATTACAATTCTCCTGAGCCACATATCTTTTGCAATCCTAATCCTATCAACCCTATACAGTACATACATATTTTAAATATACTATTTTTTACCTTAATCACAGAAATGAACAAAACTATGATCATATAATAATGTAATACAATTATAATATACAATATTCAATATAGAACATAATATATAGTTGATGTACATGTGTTTTATCGTAACTCCACAGTAACATTCAGCATAAATGGGATTTTATCCGTATGACGGCAATTGAAACCAGTGGCGTGCTGTCTTAGCCAACATATAGTAGAGCCCAAAATTATTGGATCCCTTGATAAAGATTAGCAAAAAAGACTGTATAAAATAAAATATGTCATATGACCATAGCACCGGTTCCAATCTAAGTGCCAATGCCATTTAGCAAACTATAGTCAGATGACATGAAAATAGAGGTATTTGGCCACGCACACCACTCGTGGGGTTGGCCTTCGAAAGATCAATGCATATGCAGAAAATACCTCATCCCTTCTGTAAAATATGGTGGTGGATCTTTGATGTTATGGGGCTACTTTGCTTCCACTGGTCCTGGGACCTTTGTTAATAAAGTCAATGGCATCATGAACTTTACCAATTACCAGGACATTTTAGCCCAAAACCTGGTTGCCTCTGCTAGGAGGCTGACACTTGGCCACAAGTGGATCTTCCAGGAAGACAATAACCCCAAGCACACATCAAAATCCACAAAGAAATGGTTAACTGACCACAAAATCTACATTTTGCAATGGCCATCTCAGTCTCCGAACTCGAACCCCATTGAAAACCTGTGGTTTGAATTGAAGAGGGTAGTCCATAAGCGCAGACGAAGGAGATCAAGGATCTGGAAAGATTCTGTATGAATGGTCAAACATCCCTCCCAATGTGTTCTCCAATCTCATAAAACATTTTAGAAAAAGGCTCAGTGTCATTATCCTTGCAAAGGGAGAGTGCTGGAGGATTAAAAACAGAGGATCCCTATCTTTTAGAGATTTTTGTTTAATTACTTGTTAAACAAAATCTCTTTCTCTGAGAAATGGTATTAGCATAAAATCATATATTTTTTAATTGAGCATACAATATAGCTCAGTATTTGTATCATTTATTTTATACAGTCTTTTTTAATCATCTTTATCAAGGGATCCAATACTTTTGGACCTGACTGTATGTCTTAGCCCACATACTGTATGACTCATCGACCTCATGAATGCCTACTGTAAGCAAACTGACTTCTCCTATTCAACCTACAGTACCTTGTTGTCCTTCAACATATCTTGTTGCCTAGGTTTTCAATAATAAATACTCCTTCTTCCTAGTCAACATCCCTTGTACTCCAACTGTGGCAGAATATCTCACAAACCTAGTCAGAAAAGCCAGTAACTTCCCAGTGGGCAAAAATAGTTAAAACGTCATTTCAACCAGTTTGGCTCAGTGTTTGTTCCTCCATGGGTCTCGTCAGAGCTCTGAGGTGCTGGTGGTGGCTCTCTTCTGGCTGATGGACCTGGACCTCCTGAAGGTGAAGGTCTGCTTGGAGCTCCTCACCTCCCTAGCGATGAAGTAGTAACACAGAGCGTCCAGACAGCACGTGATGTTGGCCAGACTCATGGCCACCTGCAAGAAAAGGCTGATCCTCGTCTTGGCCAAGCAGTCCTCGATCAGGCCTCGATGCACCTGGGAGGACATAGAGGATTAGATAGAGGTTATGCCTGTCAGGTCAGGTCACATGGCCAGGAAAAACTCTGGGTCTTAGCAATAACAGACCAGAGCCAAAGGATGAAGATGCCCCCAGACAAATATATGCACAAAAGATAACCTTAAGAAAGTGTTTATGGCATCTCTAGCTTTATTATGAACACACCAGGAACTGCAGCAGGATGCCCAGGTGGCTGGGCGTGAAGGGGACCAGGAAGGCACAGAGACTGCTGTAGATGATCTTCACGCAGGCTCTGCTCTTAGGGCTCTCCTGGCCCGACTGCCTCAACGTCCGGATGGTTTGGGCTGAACACACTACCAGCACCAGGGCCGGCCCCACGAACCCGAAGCTCAACAGGCAGCCGATCACCTTTGGGCTCCAGCCCTTCTCTGAGAAGCTGTGGAAGCAGTGGAAGGACACATCCTCCGCCTTGCGGAACCCATAGATGGGGGAGATGCCCCCTAGCACCACCACCCAGACCAGGATGCAGGTCCCCAGAGCGGCCCGGGGGGAACGGAGCTGCTTGGCACGGAAGGGGTGGCGTATTGCCACCCAGCGGTCCACAGCTATGCAGGCGATGGTGTAGATGCTGCCGTACATCCCCACGAAGTACAGGCTCTCCAGGAAGGAGCAGAGGAAGCGGTGGTGGGCCGCCCATTGGTGGTTGGTGGCGTGCATCTTGAAGGGGAGCAAGAGGAGGAGAAGGAGGTCCATGAGGGCCAGATTGGTCATGTAGATGGTGGACTCACTCCACTTGCGGAGGAAGATGCAGAAGACAACCAGGGCGAGGATGTTGAGGACAAGGCCAAACACGAAGATGGGCATGTAGATGGCGAGCTCCAGTGATGTCATCAGGTGGTCCACCTCGTCGAAGGAGCAGTTGGTTGTCATGGTGTTGCTGAGGGGTCAAAGGGAGAAACTGGTTGGTGCTTTATTTACAGTTGAAGTCGGAAGTTTACATACACCTTAGCCAAATACATTTAAACTCAGTTTTTCACAATTCCTGACATTTAATCCTAGTAAAAATTCCCTGTCTTAGGTCAGTTAGGATCACCACTTTATTTTAAGAATGTGAAATGTCAGAATAATAGTAGGGAGAATTATTTATTTCAGCTTTTATTGCTTTCATCACATTCCCAGTGGGTCAGAATTTTACATACACTCAATTAGTATTTGGTAGCATTGCCTTTCAATTGTTTAACTTAGGTCAGGGGTGTCAAACGTCCGGCCCGCGGGCCGGATCAGGCCCGCAAACGGGTTTAATCCGGCCCGCGAGATGATTAAAAAAAATATATATACAAAGAAAAAATATTGAATAATAATTTTGTCAAGTATAAAAATGCGCTGCAATTTTTCAATAAAATAAACTGCTGTTCCAATTGCGTCCACTGGATGGCGCAATAGCAATTGTGTTAAGCAAGCAAACTGTTTATACCGGGGCAGAGCAAGTAGGTCAAGCACGTGCAGCCAATGAGCTACTTTGTTTTGCCCGCGATATTTATTACGGCTTCTACTTTTAACATTATGTGCTTTGGCACCCTCATTGCCCCAATATGTCTCTGTCAAAAAAGAGAAAAGTGGACGCAGAGTGCAGAGTGTTCCAAGAAAAATTGTCATCCTTCTATTTATTAACGGAATTGAATGGGAAAGCTGTATGTTTGGTGTGTTCAGAGCATGTTGCAGTGCTGAAAGAATATAACCTTCGTCGCCACTATGTGAGTCTTCCTGCCGACAAATATGACAACTTTCAAGGACAGCGGAGATGAGAGAAGGTGAATTAACTGTTGGCGGGTCTGAAGAAACAGCAGTCTGTGTTTACTCACAGCCGAGACATCAGTGACGCTGCAGTGAAAGCTAGCTACCTCATTGCTAATGAAATCGCAGTGGCTTCAAAACCATTTAGTGAGGGTGAATTTTAAAAAACATGCATGATGAAGGCAGCGGAGATTGTGTGCCCTGAAAAGCGGCAGGCTTTTGCAAATATCAGCCTGACAAGAAACACAGTTGCAGACAGGATTTCCGATCTTTCAGTGGATTTGGACAGCCAGTTGAAGCAAAAAGTAAAGTCATTCATTGCGTTTTCGGTTGCAATTGATGAAAGCACGGACATTACAGATGTTGCACAACTGGCCATTTTCATCCGCGGAGTTGATGACACATTGACCGTCACCGAGGAGTTCGTGGAGTTGGTGCCGATGACAGATACAACGACAGCAGCTGATATTTTTACCGCACTCGTCGGCGCGCTGGACAGGGTCGGAGTGGACTGGTCCCGCGCTGTCAGCCTGGCTACAGATGGTGCGCCCTCAATGATCGGGAAAAAAGCAGGCGTTGTGACAAAGTTCAGAGAGAAAGTGCAATCTGCAAATGGAGGACGTGATTTTTTGACTTTTCACTGTATTTTGCACCAGGAGGCTTTGTGTTGCAAGTCATTAAAGATGGATAACGTCATGAAGGTGGTCATCCAAACTGTTAATTTCATCCGATCCAGAAGCCTGAATCACCGTCAGTTTGCCAGCCTTCTCAGAGAGAAAGACCACATCTATGGCCTGCCATACCACACTGAGGTAAGATGGTTAAGCCGAGGTGCTGTGCTGAGGCGTTTCTTTGATTTACGAGAAGAAATTGAACAGTTCATGGAAGAAAAGGGCAAACCAGTGTTAGAATTTCATTCCGCAGAATGGATGCAGGACCTTGCATTTATGGTGGATGTTACAGAGCACCTGAATAACTTGAACAAACAGCTGCAAGGGCGCAACAAAGTTGTCACGCAGTATTATGACAGCATACGTTCTTTCAAGTTGAAGCTGTCATTGTGGGAGACGCAACTTGCCGGTGGTGATGCAGCTCACTTCCCCTGTCTGAAAAATGTGTGCGCGACCCAACATGTGGCAGACATGAAGCGGTTCAAAGATAAAATAACTGGACTGTTACGGGAGTTTGAGTAACGCTTTCAGATTTATGTTTATATGTTTTTATGTTGATGTGCTATTGTTTTTAATTGATTTTATTTTATTTGTATATTTAACCTATTCTTGACTCTGTGGTTCTTGCACTTGTTTGGGGAACAGGATTTCATTATTTGTATCTACATTTCTGCCTGAGAAATGACACCCTGATATAGTTCTGTGATCTGTGATATACTTCTGTGAATCACTGAGGCATTGTGTGTTTGTGTGTTCTTTGTCCTCAGAACATTCAAATAACTTGAGGTGTTTTATGATTAATAGTGATGTTGTGCTTTTGGACACTGTCCTCAGGCTCCAGCTTTATGTTTATATGTTTTTATGTTGATGTGCTATTGTTTTTAATTGATTTTATTTTATTTGTATATTTAACCTATTCTTGACTCTGTGGTTCTTGCACTTGTTTGGGGAACAGGATTTCATTATTTTTATCTACATTTCTGCCTGAGAAATGACACCCTGATATAGTTCTGTGATCTGTGAAACAGTTCTGTTAATCACTGAGGCAGTGTGTGTTTGTGTGTTCTTTTTCTTTAGAATTTTCAAATAAACTTGACGTGTTTTATGATTAATAGTGATGTTGTGCTTGTACTATTTTGGACACACTGTCCTCAGGCTCCAGCTTTATGTTGTATGTTGATCGTATTAAAACAAAGAAAACAATCTGAAGTTGTTGTTTTTAAGTTATATATACCATGATTTTTCCGGTCCGGCCCACTTGGGAATAGATTTTCCTCCATGTGGCCCCTGAGCTAAAATGAGTTTGACACCCCTGACTTAGGTCAAATGTTTCGGGTAGCCTTCCACAAGCTTCCCACAATAAGTTGTGTGAATTTCGGCCCATTCCTCCTGACAGAGCTGGTGTAACTGAGTCAGGTTTTTAGGCCTCCTTACTCGCACACGCTTTTTCAGTTCTGCCCACAAATGTTCTATAGGATTGTGGTCAGGGCTTTGTAATGGCCACTCCAATACCTTGACTTTGTTGTCCTTAAGCCATTTTGCCACAACTTTGGAAGTATGCTTGGGGTCATTGTCCATTTGGAAGACCCATTTGCGACCAATCTTTAACTACCTGACTGATGTCTTGAAATGTTGCTTCAATATATCCACATAATTTTCCTTCCTCATGATGCCATCTATTTTGTGAAGTGCACCAGTCCCTCCTGCAGCAAAGCACCTCCACAGCATGATGCTGCCACCCCCGTGCTTCACGGTTGGGATGGTGTTCTTCGACTTGCAAGCAACCCCCTTTTTCCTCCAAACATAACGATGGTCATTATGGCCAAACAGTTCTATTGTTGTTTCATCAGACCAGAGGACATTTCTCCAAAAAGTACGATCTTTGTCCCCATGTGCAGTTGCAAACCATAGTCTGGCTTTTTTATGGCGGTTTTGGAGCAGTGGCTTCTTCCTTGCTGAGCGGCCTTTCAGGTTATGTCAATATAGGACTCGTTTTACTGTGGATATAGATAATTTTGTACCTGTTTCCTCCAGCATCTTCACAAGGTCCTTTGCTGTTGTTCTGGGACTGATTTGCACTTGTCGCACCAAAGTACGTTCATCTCTAGGAGACAGAACGCATCTCCTTCCTGACGGCTGCGTGGTCCCATGGTGTTTATACTTGTGTACTATTGTTTGTACAGATGAACGTGGTACATTCAGGAGTTTGGAAATTGCTCCCAAGGATTAACCAGATTTATGGAGGTCTACAATTTTTTTCTGAGGTCTTGGCTGATTTCCTTTGATTTTCCCATGAGGTCAAGCAAAGAGGCACTGGGTTTGAAGGTAGGCCTTGAAATACATCCACAGGTACACCTCCAATTGACTCAAATTATGTCAATTAGCCTATCAGAAGCTTCTAAAGCCATGACATCATTTTCTGGAATTTTCCAAGCTGTTTAAAGGCACAGTCAACTTAGTGTATGTAAACTTCTGACCCACTGGAATTGTGATACAGTGAATTCTAAGTGAAATAATCTGTCTGTAAACAATTGTTGGAAAAATTACTTGTGTCATGCACAAAGTAGATGTCCTAACCAACTTGCCAAAACTATAGTTTGTTAACAAGAAATTTGTGGAGTGGTTGAAAAACGAGTTTTAATGACTCCAACCTTAGTGTATGTAAACTTCCGACTTCAACTGTAGTTAGTGAAGGCATACTGTATGTGGTAAACAAATTCAATAGGCCCTTTGATTTACAAAAATCTAAAGGGAAAGACATCTAAAAGGAATTATGGTATTTTGATTGTGGATGAATTATGCATAATTGAATCTCATAATTGTTTAACTTTTTTCCTCACAATCATTTTTCCACTACCGTAATATTTAGCAAGTTTGTCCATATGTACCCCATATATCATTTGACTGGCAAGTGAATCACCCACATGCTCGCTCGTACACACACGTCATTATGCAAAACCACCTTCCCTTTCTTGTGTGGGCACAGTATCTGTACCCTCCTCACGTGCAGAAGCAGTGCCTGACAGTGTGAGAATCCTTAACCTCTTCACTACCCATCTGCTCGCCAAACAGCCAGAGTATTCCAAACAGAAATGCTATTTTGGCTGGGTCTCTCTTGTAAAGAGCTCTCAATGAAAGTAAACAGGTAAAATAAAGGTTTGAAAAATGTTTACACAATTCTGACTGTTCAATTTAAATGGGGTACGCTTTAAAGGAGTTAAATATGACTTCTGGTTTTGTTTACTACATTGTTGTAGATAAAGTATGAAAAATGTATGCACTCACTAACTGTAAGTCGCTCTGGATAAGAGCATCTGCTAAATGACTAAAATGTAAAAAATAAAATAATAAAATCCAAAACTTTGTGTCAATTCTGTTGTAATGATGAAACAGAATACAGTATAAGTGAATCCTTACCTTATAGATGCCATTCTGCTGGTGCGTCTGTCTATCAGTCTGTCTGACTCTCTGTGCCAGACACAGTAGTTTCATAGTTCTGTTTTCTTTGACCACTTCCTATGTGCGACATCCACGTTAGTCTACAGTAGCTAGATAGCGGCTCTATGCAGCAGAAAATGGGGTGAAGTCTGTGACATCCTTAAGAAATACAAAGAAATAACAGATCACAACAATCAATGTATCAATGTAACAACCACTTGAGAACATAGTATCATCCTGCTGTCAATGAGGTGCTTTTTACAGTGTTTCTAATGTTGAATTCAAATGTATAGTTTATTGTTGTGAAAAAAACTCTTGGTCACGCCATACTTGAAGTGGTTTCTTATGAAGATTATGTTGAAATCAAGTCTGAGACACTTTGATTACTCAACAGACTTGATTTCTGTGAAAGGGCCCAAGTTTGAGTGACAGCAGTCAGATTTTATGTACAGTAATTGAGAGTTTCCTGGTTTCAGATTGGAGGCGTTGAAACAATGTTGAATCAAGGTTGTCATCGCTCTCCTCAAAGGGATTGAAGACTAATTATCATCATTTTATATGTTATACAAAGCTATTAATCTCATGTTCACTGATGATATTGTAAACCACACTCTTTCATGAAAAGATTAGAAAAGAGAATTGATGGTCAAAAATGAACAATTTCATCAACATTATTCTCCAATAATGTTGAATGTTTCTGGACAGTATTCTACTACAGGTGATCAGCTAAATAAAACATACTGCACCATGTCAACTTCCTCATGACAACTTTGAGAAAGCGCCCAACGTTTTACAGTGAAATAGACTAGCTTTTACTCCCCCTAGTGGAATGTTGTGACTGTTCCACTGCTCGACTATAGCATTGATTGACAGTGAATATTCCATTACCATTTCCCTTCTTTTCCTTTTGAGGATCAACCACTTGCCTGGTGTGCCATTCTAACCTTTGACCTCCGTCAGTGTCCTGATCATATAAATAGATTATATTTCCATGTTTCTGAAGATATGGGTATTTTCCAGTTCTAATCTGGAACCATGATGGAATGTTTTTTTTAATTGTGTTCCCATGACTCATTTGTTCCAGTTTCGCTAAGCGCCAAACATGTGCTGCTGACTAGCATATCCAGCACCTGTGAGTGAGTGAGTGACTTCCACTCTTCAGTAGCTATTGTATCAATCCGATACAATAACACTACTTGTTTGTATTATGTATTGGATCATTGAAGCCCTCTATTCTGCCTTACAGATAAACTTACTGTACCAGTATATTACCCATATACATTTTAAATAATTGACAAGACTAACTAATTTTTGGTTGTAGGAAGTGATTTATTGATTTATACAATATAAAACATAGTTCAAACAGGTGATATTACCTTGAAGAATATTTATTGTTTTACAAAAGCATTAGTTGATTGGTAAAACGCAAGAGTAATACAGAAAATAGTTGTCTTCTGATATAGAATATCTAAATATTATACAATGCATCCCATCCAACCCCCCAAAATCATATCACACACACACACACCCATACACAAACACACAACAGTCATGCTGTCGTTTTATACCCAAGGTTAATATTTGCTTTGCAGGTAAAAACACACAAAGTACCCTGTTTATGTTTATTTATTGATGCCAGCATTTATCTTTAAAATGTTATATTTTTGGGTCACTATCAATATGTTTGTTCCAGTGGAAAATGGCAAACGTTTCTTTTATAAAACCTATTTGGCAACAAATGGTAGCACATTGTGGGCATCGGGAAAATGATTCTCTCATGAGATATGATCATTCAAAATAACTCCGTAATACTGCAACGTAATGAACATGGTGGATACATCTTCACAAAGACACACTCATCACACCCTTTCATGCACAAAGACCAACACATAGACAGGATACATCAACATACAACATAACCGTCAGAAAAAAAATACTTCTACAAAGATCAACAAAAACAAATCACAAAGCTCGACAAAACATTTGGACACACAATTATAAACTACAGATCATTACAAATAAAGTTAATAAAGGGATTTTAATTTTCACTATTAAATCATATTAAAGCTCTGACTTTACACTGGAAGAACCTGCCAGTCTCTAATATCCTCTTAGGTGCAAATCCTAACTTCCACTTAAGGTACATTTTCACTTAGTCTCCAATTGACAATGTAATAGTGGACGTGTGCTAAGAAGAACAGCATGATTATAGTAGCTAGAGTCTGAAGGAATTTCATTGTCAGTTGCTCTTCAAGGCCAAAGGGACCTGCCACATACCATTATAGCATCCAGGGGTTGTCCAGGGTTGTAGAGGGTTTCACTTTCACAATATGTGTGTGTATAAGGGAAACGGAATGTAGAGAGAATGGGAAAAACAATAAAGATAGATGAATGGAAGTGACAATGAGAGCAAGAGAGAGCGAGAGAGGAAGAGGAAGTGGCTCTAGGAAGCAGTAAACTTCCTGAGTGTGATGATGATGAGGGCGAGGAGGACTGAAGTCCCCAGGACGACTGCGATGACAATGGCTGTGATGGCGCCAGGGCCCAGGACATCTGGATACAGGGGCACACAGAGTACACACAACGAGCACAGGTCAGAGGTTAGGCCACCAACCTGACACTAGTGTACAAAGTAGGATTGTCAAATCAAAGTTACATTTGATTTAAAGTGCATCATCACAGTCTCAATACACTTTACAATTGTAAGGTTTATTACCAATTCATTACATGTAAAGGGGTTGTGGTGTGGATGAACTGATAGACACAAATAACCCCACCAGTGTGCTTTGTCCAATGGCTCTTACCATGCAAATATTTGCAGAATATATTATTTTCTAAATCCTCTGGGTATAACCCAAATTCTTGATATTAATAACATTTCTATATTAATTTAACTGGTTATGGGAAATGTTCAGAAAAACATGAAGTGCCCGTCTCACTTTCCTCCTCGTCCATGGCCTGTGAGTGGGTGGTGTCCTCGTACTCTAAGGTGAACACTCTCTCCGTCATATCCTGGAAGGGGTCTTTGGTGGTGACGTCATATGCCCCCTCTCCGGACAGCATGTCCTGGTTGTCCCCTTGTAAAGTGGGTGCGGGGTCTGCCACGGTCTCTGTGAACAACAACAGTGCAACAGTGTGTGTGTGTTTACAATTTGGGCTTGTTCAAATAGTTAAGAGTCTATAACTGTTTAAATGTAGCATTTTGTACATATTTTTAGTGCAAAAGTATGGAAAACATTACTTTTACAGTACAGGTCTCCCTTGGAAAATGGGACTACCTGGTTAAACAAAGTATAACTCAACAAGCTCAGTCATACCTGCAACTCCCTACACTTTCAGTTTCAGCTGTTCAGATACTATTAACTAGATAAAACCAACCCTGAGGCAAAAGTGTGAACTGAAAATGAAATTTTATATTACACTTTGTTTTTTGTCTAAGGAGTAGTTTTGCTGGTGAGGCGGCTGCTAATGTATGTATGTTCCTCTAACAGAGAGTCAGTGAGAGACAGAGCTGTGAACGTAAAATAGAGTACTGACAGAGCTACGTTAGCCCTAGTCTTTTTGTTTTTTTTAGGGGGTAGATCAGCTTAATATTGCAGATAGATTGTAACTTCCATCAATGTAATTGTCTGCATCACTTCCAATCCCCCATGTTTTATATATATACACACACACACACACACACACACACATATATACATACATATACATACACACATACACACAGTGAGGGAAAAATGAGGGAAAAAAGCATTTAATCCCCTGCTGATTTTGTACGTTTGCCCACTGACAAAGACATGATCAGTCTATACTTTTAATGGTAGGTTTATTTGAACAGTGAGAGACAGAATAACAACAAAAAAATCCAGAAAAACGCATGTCAAAAATGTTATAAATTGATTTGCATTTTAATGAGGGAAATAAGTATTTGACCCCTCTGCAAAACATGACTTAGTACTTGGTGGCAAAACCCTTGTTGGCAATCACAGAGGTCAGACGTTTCTTGTAGTTGGCCACCAGGTTTGCACACATCTCAGGAGGGATTTTGTCCCACTCCTCTTTGCAGATCTTCTCCAAGTCATTAAGGTTTCGAGGCTGACGTTTGGCAACTCGAACCTTCAGCTCCCTCCACAGATTTTCTATGGGATTAAGGTCTGGAGACTGGCTAGGCCACTCCAGGACCTTAATGTGCTCCTTCTTGAGCCACTCCTTTGTTGCCTTGGCCGTGTGTTTTAGGTCATTGTCATGCTGGAATACCCATCCAAGACCCATTTTCAATGCCCTGGCTGAGGGAAGGAGGTTCTCACCCAAGATTTGACGGTACATGGCCCCGTCCATCGTCCCTTTGATGCGGTGAAGTTGTCCTGTCCCCTTAGCAGAAAAACACCCCCAAAGCATAATGTTTCCACCTCCATGTTTGACGGTGTGGATGGTGTTCTTGGGGTCATAGGCAGCATTCCTCCTCCTCCAAACACGGCGAGTTGAGTTGATGCCAAAGAGCTCCATTTTGGTCTCATCTGACCACAAAACTTTCACCCAGTTCTCCTCTGAATCATTCAGATGTTCATTGGCAAACTTCAGATGGGCCTGTATATGTGCTTTCTTGAGCAGGGGGACCTTGCGGGCGCTGCAGGATTTCAGTCCTTCACAGCGTAGTGTGTTACCAATTGTTTTCTTGGTGACTATGGTCCCAGCTGCCTTGAGATCATTGACAAGATCCTCCCGTGTAGTTCTGGGCTGATTCCTCACCGTTCTCATGATCATTGCAACTCCACGAGGTGAGATCTTGCATGGAGCCCCAGGCCGAGGGAGATTGACACTTCTTTTGTGTTTCTTCCATTTGTGAAAGACAGTCAATTTTACAATAATTATATTTTGTTTGTTTTTTCTCCTGAACTTCTTCTACTCTCAACCTCTCCGATCATTTTCATGATGTCCATCCGGTTTGCTTCTATATGCCATATCTTTCTAACTGTGCTCTTTCACAAAAGCTCCCAACCTACAACCTATATACTTATTATGGGCACAGTATGCTTACATTATTAGTTATCTTGTTATTAGTTGTTGTTAGTTGTTATTAGTCCCATCCTTCAACCCCATTCAACACCACCCATCTATCTCTTAACACCATCCATATTGGATTTCTATTTGCCATATATTTTTCAACTGTACTGTGATGTTTTACAAAAGTTCTGAACCTTTCTATTCTCATTGTTTCTACAGGTTGTAAATTGAAAATAAACATTTTTGCTAAAAGTATTATTATATTATTGATCGATTGATTATGACTTTTCAGATCACCCAGTAATGCTATCTGCAAGGTTAGCTCCAGGTAAATATTGCAATCCTTTAGCCATTCCTGGACCTGTGTCCAAAAACAAGCTACAAAATGGACAGTACCAAAACAAATGATCTAATGATTCTGTCTCTTCCCAGCAAAATCTGCAGAGCTGGGAAGATTGTATCCCCCATATAAATAACATTCTATTGGTAGCAAGAATTTTATATAATAATTAAAATAGAAAGATTCTAAGTTTTGAATCAGGTGTCGTTTTGCGTATCAGTTCATAAACACTATGCCATGGGATCGGTACGTCAAAAATCTCTTCCCAACTATTTTGCAATCTATATGGGACGGCTGTCAATCATTTGGTCCTTAAATGAAACTGGTATACTTTTTTATTTATCACAGTTTTCTTTAACCAATTATGTTATTTAATGCAAGGCCGACAGACAAGTTCCTTACTTTCTCCCCCTTCCACTTTCTTCTTCCATTTTTGCGGTAAGGCTGCACTTATTTGGTTGTAATTTTGGGTAGAGCAGATATTTCCATATGTTTTTGTTAGCTGCATGTGTGACATAACTCCACCAGTCCTACCGATGATATCATTTACGAAGATTATACCTTTTTTAAACATTTTGTCCCAAAACAAAATAGCATATTTGAGTTTAACCACATTTTACATTTACATTTGAGTCATTTAGCGGACACTCTTATCCAGAGCGACTTACAGTTAGTGACTGCATACATTTTCATGGCCCCCCGTGGGAAACGAACCCACAACCCTGGCGTTGCAAGCACCATGCTCTACCAACTGAGCTACAGGGGACATATGGTCCACAATATTTGTTGCAACCAACTTTATATGGCTTGTTTAAGAAATAGTGATATTTTGGAGATGATTTCCATTTCAAATAACTGAAAGTGAGAGGTTGTAATCTGAATAAAGGGAAAAAGGCCATTCTTGAACATTGGGTGAGACAATCTTTCTAATTTGCTAGAGAACCAGTTCGGATTTAAGTATAACTTTTGTATGACTGAAGCTTTTAGTGATAGGTCTAATGCTTTCATATTTAATAATTTCTGTCCTCTGAATTCATATTCATTATATAAATAGGCCCGTTTAATTTTGTCTGGCTTGCCATTCCAAAGAAAATGGAATATATTTTTTTCATATAATTAAAAAGAAAAACTGTTCGCTAGGCGTAGGCAAGACCATAAGCAAATAGGTAAACTGGGATAATACTAAAGAGTTCATCAGGGTGATTTTTCCACAAATTGACAGGTATTTACCTTTCCATGGTAGCAAGATCTTATCTATTTTTGCTAACTTTCTATTAAAATGTATTGGAGTGAGATCATTTATTTCCTTTGGGATATGTATTCCGAGTATATCCACATCACCATCAGACCACTTTATTGGTAAACTACATGGTAATGTAAAAATTGTATTTTTTAGTGATCCTATATGTAATATAGTACATTTGTCATAATTTGGTTGTAATCCAGAGAGGTTAGAAAATGTATCTAGATCCTCTATGAGGCTGTGGAGGGATCCTAGTTGTGGATTTAAAAGAACACATGAATCATCAGCGTACAATGACACCTTTGTTTTTAAGCCCTGGATTTCTAATCCCTTGATATTATTGTTGGAATCTGATTTTAATAGCTAACATCTCGATGGCCATTATATATAGATATACCGATAGTGGACAACCTTGTTTCACTCCTCGACAGTTTAAAACTTTCTGAGAAATATTTTACACCTAGGGTTACTATACATGATTTTGACCCATTTTATAAGAGATTCTCCAAAATTGAAATGCTCCAGGCATTTATATATAAACCCCAGTCGTACTTTATCAAATGCCTTTTCGAAGTCTGCCATGAATAGCAGGCCTGGTTTCCCAGATTTTCCATAGTGTTCTATTGTTTCCAGGACTTGCCTTATATTATCTCCAATGTATCTTACATTTAACATTTTAGTCATTTAGCAGATGCTCTTATCCAGAGCGACTTACAGGAGCAATTAGCGTTAAGTGCCTTACTCAAGGGCACATCGACAGATTTTTCACCTAGTCGGCTCGGGGATTAGAACCAGCGACCTTTCGGTTACTGGCACAACGCTCTTAACCACTAAGCTACCTGCTGCCCATGTAAAAAACCTGTCTGATTAGAATGAATAATATCCGACAATACCTTTTTTATTCTATGCGCTATACATTTTGCTAGAATTTTTGCATCACAACACTGAAGTGTAAGGGGCCTCCAATTTTTTGAATGGACTGGATCTTTATATTTTCCACTTGTATCCTATTTCAGTAATAATGAAATCATACCTTCTTCTTGAGTGTCTGATAATCTACTTTTAGCCCCAGTCTTTGATACTGCAGTGGAAAGCTGCTAAGCTAGTGGTTCATTCCACGAAAAGAGTGCCTTTTGCGTCTCTTTGATATTTTAAGTAGAAATTGTGCATCAATATTTAAATTTAAAGCCTATGATTTTAAATTAAGTACCATTAATATAGATCACGGATAATTCAATAAATCTGTATTTTGACAAGTCCCTCCGTCAACCCTGTCACTTCTAGGAAGATTTTAACAAACTTAATCCCAAAATGTCTCCAAGTGTCACCATCATTGTAAAGCCCTAGTTAATGTTGCTTTGACAAAGATTTTGATTTATGTTATGTGATTAGGGATTCATTTTAAGGTCATTTTAAAGCCAACCCTGTTATGTGAACTGAACTCTCGTTTTAATATGGTGAAACTATTCCTTTTAAAATATTTTTTTTTCAAAAGAAACATTGAATATCTAATAATCAAATCATAGAG